ATCCTATTTGTTCATTATCTGCACAGGAAAGTTCAGATTTTTCTTCCGGCAGTGTTCTCTGCTGTGTAGTATAAAGCATCTTCATATCAGAATAACCAGTTATTGAATTCATCCTGTATATACACTATATCTTCTCTTTCAACAGGACTGTAAGCTCTTATGGACAGAAATTATGTTCTATTCTTCTCATTCATGCATTCCTTCATTTTTCACTCATTAATTATTTACTGAGCCTCAGCTGGGGTTGGCTGAGAACTATGCCAAGTAATAGTCTCTCCTTCATAGGCAAACACTAGAGCAGGCTGTTTAAAAACCGGAAGCCATGCTAGAGTTGTTAGAAGACAACCTCCTTAGCGTACAGAGGAGACCAAGGCCCAATGAGGGACTGACCCGCCCAAGGCCTCAGAGCTAGTCGGGGGTTCGAGGCAGGTGCTCCCGGAACTCCTTTCCTGGCTCCCCTCTGCCAGGAGAGCAGGGACCATTCTTTCTGCCTGACAGGTTAGTACTCATTGAACTGTGCGTTCCTGCACACGTCCTGCGGGCCTCTCTGAAGGGCTGGCGCTCTCCCAACCTCCCGGGAAGACTCAGGGTCAGACTCAGCATCATCCTTCGACAATTAACAGCACGAGCTCCTGAGGCCCAGCCTTCCTTCCCTCGGCTCCTGCTAACGCCGCTCTCACAGCTTGGGCCCAACCCCCTCGAGCCTAGACGTTTAGTGCAGTCGTGTTTAAGAGCAGGGGTCCAGGAGTCAGAGAGGCCTGGGTTCAAATCCCACCTCCTCCACTTATTAGCTTTTGGACATTGGACAAGTTATGTCCATTAGTTCAACCATGACTTGATTGCCCTCTTTCGCTGATTGTTCCAGGCTCTGGAGGTTGAGTCTAAGCGAGAGTGACATGGCCTGGTTCTCACGGACCTCACGTTCTCCCTAGGGAGTCAGACCATCAGCATACCAACAGGCAACACTGGGAGAGAATTTCAGCGAGGGATATGTTATTGGAAAAGAGCAGGGAATGTGACTGAGTTGGTGAGGCAGGGGCCAGACAGAGGTCAGGGACGATCTTGAAGAGGAGGTGACTTATAAGCTGAGATCTGCTCTGTGGCAAGGGCTGGGCCACAGCAGTGCAAAGGCCCTGGGACAAGGGTGGGCCTGACCTGTTTGGAAAACAGAAAGATAAGGTTTCTTCATCTGGGAAAAATACGGCTGGTAAAAATACCCATCTCCCTGGGGTTGTTGTGAAGACTAAATGAGGTGAGTGTAGAGAGGACTTGGTAGTGTGCCTGACAGTAAATGTCAGCTATTTACTATTGTCCAGAGGATCACTGCTAGGGGGCACGGTCCAGCCTAACCCAGTCCTATCTCTGTGGAACACAGTCTCTTTTTCCTGATTTTGGCAATAGCACTTGTTGTTCCCTCTTTCTGGAATGCACGCCCACTCCTCCCCTCTCCCACCCCTTGCCTGGCAAACCACTAACGATCCTGGAACTCTCAGATGAAATGACGGCCCTTCGTTCTCCACAGCCATGACCCTGGCCCAGCAGGTCACATCCTGCATGAGTCCCTGTGGCTGACAGAGAGACCCCAGACCACTAACCTGAAGGCTCTGGAAGGGCCTGGCCCCCGCCTCCCATCTCACCTTGCTGCACGCCCCCTCCCCCAGCTGCCCCAGCAGGGCCTTGGCAGGTGTGTGCCCTCCACCTGGGCCACCCTCTGCCTCACCCTCATCCCTCAGGTCTGACTTCAGATGTTACCTCCCGACTCGCCCTCTCCGCAACTGTAGCTTATAACACCCTGTTCTTTCCTTCAAATGTGCACCTCACATTGTGATTACAGATGTATTTGTGTTGACTATTTATGTCTGCCTCCCCACCAAAGATGGAAAGTTCCACAATAGGGGTTACGTCTATTTTGTTTCCCCACTAGTACTTGGAACCCTCTCAATAAGTATTTGCTGACGAATGTTCCCATCCTCTCCTGCTGTTCTTCCTGCTGCTCAGTCTGTCCTTGGCCTCCTTTGCTGGCTCCTCCCCTTCTACTTGGTCACTAGATGCTGTTACTTCTCAGGGCTTGACCCAGGCTCTCCTCTGCTGGTAGCTCCCTCCCTAAGGGACTGCACCCTGGCCCACAAGCCCATTGCCTTGGGTGACACCCTAATGTATACCTCTAGCCCCTGGGACTTCTCCAACTGCACACCTGCATCTTCAAGGCCCCCCTCCTCCTGGATGTTTCAAGGCATTTCAAACGCAGCACATCCCATGCTGACCCATGACTGTCTCCCTGGACCTGAGTCGGTCTGGGGCCCCTCACCTCAGGGAAGAGCAGTCAGGCAGGATGAAAATATCACAGTCAGTCCTGGTGACCCCTTCCCCTTCCTTCTCATATCTACCTTCCCCCAAGTCCTGTTGATTTCACCCCCAAGTATCACTCAGCTCATCGGCCTTTGCACACCCCACCCGCATCCCTTCCGCCCTCCTGCTGAGTAGCTTCTGCCCTGTTTCCCTAACAGCAGCGCCTGTGCGCTCGCTCCAGTGTGTCCCCCACCAGCAGTGGCGGGGGTATTACAGAAAGGCAGATCTGATCATGTCACTCTCCTACCTGAAACCCCTTCGTGGCTTCTCATGGCTCCCAGAATAAAGCCAATTCCCCTCCGTGGACCTGCCAGCTCTGGTCCCACCTCCCACTCCCTGAAATTCTGTTGATTGCTGGGTGGGATGGGAATCCATCCTGGGCTCAGAAAGGGTCAGGGGAGGGAAAGCATAGCTGTGTGGCTTTGGCAGGGTGACGGGACAGTACAGCCCTTGCTCTGGCGTCGGATGGTCCAGGCTAGAGTCTGAGCTGGCCAAGGGCTGAGTAATGCTTCCAACAACCTATTCATAGAGCTAGCCTTTTCAAAACCTCCTCTTTTCCCTCCTGCAGGCTCCTTTGTGTGGCTGCCAGGGAGGTGTGCAGGGCAGGCGTCTGAGTACAAACCCCAGTTCTTAAAATGCTCAGGGCTAACCCGATTTGGTCTTGTTACCTCTCTGGTTTCAACTTGACCATGCTCACCTCTCATCCTTTCTGTCCGGCTATGCTGGCTTCCCTGCCACTCCTCAGCGTCTGCAGGCACACAGGACTTACAGGCTCCACTGGAACCCTCTCCCCCAGACAGTCCGCCACCTGCGCTCTTCTCTCCTCCAGGTGTCTGCTCAAAGGTCCCTTCTCAGGGGGATCACCTGGCCTCCCAGCCTACAGTCACGCCCCACCCTACACACTTCCTATCCCTTCCCCTTGCTCTATTTTTCTGTTTAGCACTTAGCACCGTGTAACAGACAATATATTCTACTTATTTATCTTGTTGATTGTCCATCTGCCCAGACTAGGATGTCAGCCTCATGAGGGCAGAGATTTTGTCAGCTTTTTCATTTCTGGATCTCCAGCATCTAGAATAATACCTGCCACATAAATATGTCTTACAGAAATAAATAGACTTTTTCTTTTCTGCCCTCACTGGGTTATGGGCTGCATGCTAAGCATATCTCTTCAAGGCTAGAGATCTGTCTCAGACCTTTTTGGAGCTACCCCTTTCTCACCTGACCCACATCCAGTGCTGCATGATGGTCCCTCCCCCTCACTGTTGGCTCTCATAATACTCATTACTGAATCCTCAGGAGTGGATCACATTTCTGGGGTCTTTCTGGGATAAACCAAGTGCCTGAACACTGACGGTCATCATTAATTGATGCTGATATTCATTTATAATTATAGTTATTATCTGACATGTAAGGGTCCATTCTGCTCTGCAGTTCTGGCTGTAACTGCTGGACTTCTGGGGACGGAGCTGACATGGGCTGCGTGGGCCCATTTCCACAGAGGCTGCCCCTGGGAACACAGGTATGCAGGCTTTTGGCAAGTGGCAGAGCCTCTCAACAATTTTCTCCCTTTCCACTGGCTCTCACTCAAATTGTTTAAGAGCAGAAACGCTGGAAGGGGTTCCTGTGTTGTCTGGAAGAGTTGTTCTAGTGGTTCTTCTAGCCTGGGGCCTGTCCAGGTGAGTTGGGGCAGTGTAACCAAGGGATTGAAAATAGATAAGAGGGTTGGTGGAGCCTCCACCCTCAGCTGTGGCTAAGAACCACGCCTTCCTTGAAGCGTCCTGAGGAGTCTCTAACCCCTGCCCTCAAGCCTCCACTGTGCCATGTGCCAGCTCTCTTCAGGTGACTCTGCCCCGGCCTTCCCCATGGACTTCCCAGGACTGGTGCTCACAGCCCCTCAGAACTCACCCTGCCCCAGCCTCCAGCCCCCAGACCCTGCCAGGCCTTACCTGAGCCCCTGCTGGTCACTGCTCCCTGACACATCTGACACCTTGGTGTTTCCAGGTCTTTGCTTGGGTGGTGGCAATGCCATCACTCACAGCAGGGCAGAGGAGGTCTCTCAGAGATGCCAGCCACATCTTCTTAAGTGTCCTGTGACCCCTGGACAGGAGACCCTGACAGCTGGGACCACACAACCTGAGTGTCAGCCTGGATGCTGCCTTTCTACTCAAATCATTCTAGTGATTCCTCCAGCCAGGAAAACCTAGAGGTCAATAGCAGTCCACTGATTTTCAGTCAAACACAAAAATCTGCTGGGCAGGAGGAGGCAGTGAGAGGGTCGGGCAGGAACGACCCTTGAGAGAACTTGGGGTACCAGCACAGACAGCCTTCACAGCCCGTGTAGTGTCCCTCCCCAGGACTGCTCACTCCTGCCCCTTCCATCTGTCTGTCTGCATCAGAGCAAGCAGAGGAGTGGACATCAGCTCTCAGGTATACTGCTTCTCTCGGGCAGACTGGATATAAATCTTATCAGGGTTGGACCAAAGAGAAGGCCCTTGCCGCCCCAGAACACAGCAGCTTCCAGGCAAGCATTAACCAGCCTTGCATTCAGAGATGCAGCACTTTTCCCCCACTGCACCAGCTTTGGTTCATCCAAAATGCAATAATGGAGACAAAAAACAAGGAAATGAATTAGAAGAGTGACAAAATACCCATTTTTCCTCTTTTTCCATTTGCTCCTTTTTCGCCTTTTGGGCCCTGGGGACCAGGCTGTCCATCTGATCCGTTGTGTCCTGGTAACCCACCGATTCCTGGAGGTCCTGCATCAAAACACGGGAAATGGGAACATTTAAAAAAATCTTAACAGAAGTTAACATGACTTCCTTTAGCCAGTGAAACTGGCCAGGCATTGACGCCTCTTCCAGATCTTCTCCTGCTTCTTCCTTTCCTTCTCTTCCTTCCCTGCCCCTGCCTGAAGCAGTGACAGGTGGGGAATGGTGACAGCAAGCTCTCAAGTGGGAGGGAACAGGAGAGCTGGCGATTGGGGCAGAGAGGAGGGGGACACAGTGATAGTCAAGGCTGCCTTCAGACTCTTCTTCCTTCCCTGCCTCAGTCCCTTCCGAGTGATCCTGGGGAGCCAGCCACCCATATCCTTCCCATGAACTTGGAAAACCCATGGGCTCTTACCTGCTGGGCCAGGTGGTCCTACAACAGAAAAAGAAATTTAGATGATAAACCACAGATGGAAGAAAGTGAAGCCAACACCACAACCCAAAAAGCAAAGAGCACCTTCCCCCTCTTAAAACGTACTAATCACCTATGGGCCCTAAGGAACCACCCCATGCCTTTTATTTAGAACTCAGTACATTTGCCCAAAGATTCTTAAAAACAATTCAACAAAGACCCGTTTGCCAATCAAAACCACTTTTGCTTAAGTTCCAATGGACTAAGAATAATTTCTAAGTGGCTTCACTACAGACTCATAAATCAGTCATCTCTCAAGCAATCAACTTAATTAAATGAGGTTTGGTGACAATGTGGGTGGGCACTAGTGCAGCCCTGGCACAGGTACGTGTCAGGAAGTGCTGCTTTTGCATGGCTGAGATCCAGCTGTCCCAGGAGCAGCCCCAAACACGCTCATCCAGCCAGCCTGTCTCTTCTAGGCCACCAAGGGGAATTGAGAGCAGAAGCTGGTTTGCTTGGTTTCTATTTTGTTACATAAAATAGCCTGAGAAAACTCGAGGGCCCAGATCAGGTAACAGATACCTTTCTTAGTGTGTAATTACCCAAGGATCTAAGGGGTTCACGTGAATAATTTACACATAATCTTAACACAATAATTTTGCTTCCACAAATAGTCTTAGTGTCAATTATTCCATTTAAGCACTCGGACAAGCCAGTGAGGTCGCAACATGAACAGTTGAGGGTCTTTTGTTTCTCCGGACCACATATAACAATCACCAATATTGGAGTGGGTAGGTCTTTCTAAAGATCCAAGCCTGTGACTCTTCAGAAAACCACCATTTATACTGATGAACCTAGTGGCAGGGCAGGAATAAAAATGCAGATGTAGAGAATGGACTTGAGGACACAGTGGGGGAAGGGTAAGCTGGGACGAAGTGAGAGAGTAGCATTGACATATATATACTACCATATGTAAAATGGATGGCTAGTAGGAAGCTGCTGCATAGCACAGGGAGATCAGCTCGGTGCTTTGTGACCATCTAGAGGGGTGGGATAGGGAGGGGAGGAGGGAGACGCAAGAGGGAGGAGATATGGGGGTATATGTATACGTATAGCTGATTCACTTTGTTGTACAGCAGAAACTAACACACACAACATTGAATAGCAGTTATACTCCAATAAGGATATATATATATATATATATATATATATATATATATATATACACACACACACACACACATATATATATATATATATATATATATATGTATACACACTCACACACACACACACACACACACATATACATATATACATAAAAGAAAACCACCATTTACTAAGCACTTCTGTGTGCACCAAAATCTTCCCATAAGTAGAAACCTTGATCCTTGTGTCTGCTGTGTTTACAGCCTATCTGAGGAAGGTGAATACTTTGAAACCACAATGAGATGAGGGAGCTACAGAGAAGCAAACCCCTACAGAGGTACCGGGGAAGTTTGGGCACATGGCAGTCGGAGAAGGCCCTCAGAGAGAGTGAGCCTTGAGCTGTGGCTCTGAAGACACAGTGGCCTGAGATGGCTGCAGGGGTGAGGGCTGGGCATCCCATGCAGGAGACCAGCTGGAGAAAAGGTACAGGGGTGGGAGCTTGCGTGATTCAGGGTGAGAGAAAGGAGGAAGAATGGCTCAGCTGGAGTGTGTAGAGATGAGGCTGAAGTGTATACTTGGCAGAGGGATGTGGGGCAGCAGCACTTGAAGACCAAGTGGAGGGGTGTAGACGGTATGTGCAAGGCAGTACGGAGTTACAGTAGATTCTTAAGCAGCGGGGGATGACACTGATATCAGCGTGTGTTTGATATCCTCTCCGTAGATGGATATGGAATAGAACTAGGGAATGAGATGAGAGAGAGAAAGAGACAGGGAAGGAAGGGGGTGGGGCAGGGAGAAAATATCCAGAGGCTCTTTGTAGTTAAAGTTTGGGACAAGGTGGTGGATAAATGCGGTTGGTGACTGTAGAGTTCTAGAGGGAGCTAGACATTCGAGAGGTATTTCAGCAGAAGAATGGGCAGGACATGTCCATGTCTGATTGGGTAGGAGACAGCTGAGGAGGCCTCTCAGACGACTGAGCCTGGATACTGATGAGCCTATTTGACAGACATGAAAACTTTTGGAAGAATAAGTGTTTGAAGGTATGCTTTCAATACATACAGTCCTATGTTGGGCAAAAATGATTTGCTGAAAACGGCATGGCATTTTCTAGGGTCAGTGTAGCCTGTAGTCAGTGTGGTCAGTTTACCGCCAGATGGCACACACAAGCCCTGGTAAGGAGGTGATATGGCCCTTTGAGAGCTGTCAGAAGAAATCAATCAATCGTCAGTCCCGACTGCAGATGGAGCCAAATTCAAATGTGCAGATTGGTAGAAAAAGGTAAACAAGCAAGAATCAACTGTATATAGTAGGTTTCAAGAGTTATCATGGAGGGATAAACTGGGAGATTGGGACTGACAATATACACACTACTATATATAAAATAGATAACTAATAAGAACTTGCTGTAGAGCACAGGGAACTCTACTCAATACTCTGTAATGATCTATATGGGAATAGAATCTAAAAAAGAGTGGATATATGTATATGCATAACTGATTCACTTTGCTGTACAGCAGAAACTAACACAACATTGTAAATCAACTATAGTCCAATAAAAATTAATTTTAAAAAAAGAGCACAGTCCAATAACCATTTCCATGCAGTGGAGTATTGGAGAGAGGTCCTGGCTGGAGCTGTATACTTAGGACACATTAGTTATGGCCAAGGGTATCACTATGATGAAGTGTTTAGATTAGGGTTTCTTGACACTGACCTGAGATCCTTGATATGCTATGGCTACAGTTTTTACACATTTGAGGCCACAAAATCAACTAGAATGCTTGTAAAAATGCAGATACCTAGGTCCCATCTGGAGATTCTGATTTGGTTTGGATTTAGAGTAAGGCCCAGGAACTGGCATTTTTACCAAACACCACAGGTGTATGGGATGCAGGTGGTCCTGGGTCCTCTCGACCTGATGTGAAAATTTTCTGGGAAAAGAGTCAGTCACTCTCCTTAAAGGGGTTCCTGACCCTAGAAATACTGGGAGCTACTAGCCTTCAGGTAAGAGTGAAATGTCTGAGCCAAATTTGGGGATGTAGAGAGGGGGACACACCCCATCTGGAGGGAGGCAGGTGATAGAAGAAGCACCAGGAAAGAGAGATGAAGATGGAGGAGGGAAGCCAGCAGGTCTCATGCCGTGAAGCTAGAGAATTTCAGAAGAGAAAGGATGACAAATGGTTCCAAAGAGCTCAGGAGCAGAGTGCTACAGTGATGATGACTGTCCCAATATCCCGGGATGCCAATTGGGCTGCTCACAGCCCCTTACACCCAGAAGAAGCCCCAAATATAAGTCATTATAATAATGTCAAATGTCAAATGTGTGCCTACTAGCTATTTAGCAAACCATCTTTCAGAATTTTTTTTAGCTCCTGACCCTTCTCCTCTTCTGGAATAACAGACCCTCTAGGAACACATGTGGGCAGCCACGTTCATGTTAACACTGTACGCAGGGCTGTTTCCTGGGCCTGCCAGCAGTGCAGCTACACAGGACTCCACGCTAAGAAGGGAGCTCCCTGCTTGGGTTTAAACGCTCTGCAGTTGCCGTTTGGACATCCTTAACCATTTTTTCTTTGAATTTGTGCTTTGTAAGTGAAGTCTGATGGGACAGTGGAGCATGGCCCAGGGGCTTTGAGTCTTGGTTTGTATGTGGCCCTGCCTCCTATCTCCTCCCTGCCTCCCTAGGACAGATTTTCCCCTGCCTGCTCCTGTGCCCCTTGACGTGTCCTCCCCATTCCCTGCCCCATCAGTGACTGCTGCCACCTGCCACCCCAGTGGGGGCCCAGGCTCGAGTGCAGGGGAGGCTAGCGTTGGGTGTGTGCCCTGCGTGCTTTTGTCCCAGGGAGCCCCTGTGCCTGTGAGGGTCTGTACTCATGCGGTGAGTAGCCCATGCCTCAAGGAGCACGACATTAAGTAGCAAATAAAAAGCCCCGCCATGGCAGGTCAAGAGAGGCTGTGGAAGAAAGGAAAAAGCCTTCTTCCTGCTTCATGAGCAAGGGACCCTGCATTTTCATTTTGCACTGGGCCCTGCAAATGATTGGGTGATTACCCCACCCAACACTCCTAGCTGGAGTTGATTAAAATTGGGTAGATACATGATACGAGCTGAACCACTTAGATTTTTTTTTCTCCTTGCAGTCTAAAGTTGACCCACAATGCCCTTACTTATGTAAAGTAGAGGTCTGTGGATGGCCATGCACAGTGAAAAATGTCAGTCTGCAGAGAGAAGAAAATGAAGGAGAGAGAAGCAGAGATGAGGGACTGGGTGTCTGCTAGAGAGTCAGAAAGGCTGAGAGAGGAGCTGTGTGGGTTCTCAGTGGCTTTCCAGTTCCTGGCTCCAGCTCACTGGGTCAGGCTGCTTCCCCTGCCCTCCTGGTCTGTCTGTGAGATACCCTTCTGTCTCATGAGGCAAGCTTTGTTTTCACCAGACTGGGTTTCATTGTCATCTTCCTGGACCCACAGACAGATTGCGTTTCCCTGCCTTCCTTCCATGGTGGGGGTGGGGAAGTGAGATATCTCCAGGCCTGACCTGTTAAAGCACCCAGTGGGTGCCATCCTTTGTTCCCCTCTCCTCCCTTGGGAGTGACCCTGGCGCCTGGTGCTCAGATGATGGAGCTACAGGATGGCAGCACTTGGACCTCTGAGTCCCCAGAACTGCCTAGGAGAGTCACCCAAATTTCGCTGGACTTTGTGGAGTGGGAAACAAGCCTTTGCTGTGTTAAGCCGCTGAGATTTTAAGGTTTAACTGTTACCAGAGCATGACCAAACCTAGCTTGACAAATACATCCCTCTATCTTTTTAATTATTTATAATCTCTCACCCGCTTTTCCTCAGATAAGCTCTAACAGGTCCCTGCTACAAGCAAACAGTAG